TACAGGCATGCGCCACCATACCTGGTTTCAGTGGCCAGCAGTGTGCCTAAAGCCAGCACAGCATGCAGTACCGGGGATCAAACCAAGGCCACTGCACCTGCCAGGCAGGCACTCAGACCTCCGAGCTATCTTCCCAGTCCCTAGCTTTCTACTTTTCATTGGAAAGTTCCATTTTTTATCTTTATTAACAAATACTGTTTTCTTGAAGTAACAAATTTGTTTTTGAGAACATGTCAGTCCACTGATTGGACTGCCACTGCTCTAATCCCGGTAGGCTACATTTGATATAGGGACAGAAAAAGGTCTCTCTCCCTCTCTATCCTTTACCACTTTTGCTATTTTCTGCCACTATGAACCGTCGTCCTCTGCCATGTGCTACCCTGCCTTAGAGCCAGCTGATTACGGCTCTACCGACTGTGAGCTAAATAATCATTTTGCCCTTGAGTGTTGGGTATTTTGTCTCAAAAATGAGAGTACCTTGAGAGAGAGAAAGAGAGAGACAGAGACAGAGCAAGCACGAGCGAGCTCAGCAGTCTAAAAATAAAAAAGAAAGCAAATGAGACAAGCTATATCCCCACACTTTTCACATTTTTATTTTAAGAAACCAGGCATGGTGGTACATGCTTGTAATCCCAGCTTTTGGGAAGCTGAGGCAGGAGCATCACTGTGAGTTTGAGGCCAGCCTGGATTATGTACTGAGTTCAAGGTCATTCCGAATTACATAGTCAGACTTTGTCTCAAAATAATGAAAACTTTTGAGTCAAGATCTCATGAAGTTACCCAGACTGGCCTTGAACTTGTCAAAACTATGTTCACAGAGTTGTCTTTTTTATCCTACCAGCCTTTGTTCTGAAGATGTAAAAGCTAAACACCAGCCCTTGAGTACTACTCAACTGTCCAAGAAGTCAGTTCACTTACTGTCCTTCATTAAGTAGTCATAGGCGGGGGAGGTAGCCCAGTAGTCCAAGGCCTGCCTGGCAAGCACAAGGACCCGGGTCCAATCCCAGCACTGTATGCTATGCAGTCTGAGCTGCACAGTGAGAACTCGCACCAAATAAACAAACAAACAAACATGAAGTAGTCAAATTGTTAATTTTAAAAACCTCCTACCTTTGGCAGTCTCCTTACCAGGTAAGTGATGAAACAGTAAGCTCACGTACAGCATTCCTCTCTACCAAACTGCCGTGTCTCAAAAGGGTATTCACAGAACTGCCTGTGCAGCAAACTGAACTTTTCTAAGTGAATAGCATTTTTACTTGAAAGAAATTCATCTTAAAATATTTGGCATATATGTTGAGAATGAATAAATATGTTATGTCAAGAAAACAGTATTCATTAATAAAGATAAAAATTGGAACTTTAGGGGCCGGGAGGATAGCTCAGCAGAATAAGTGCTTGCCTGGCAAGCGCAAAGGCCTGAGTTCAATCCCTGGTTCTACCAAAAAAAAAAAAAAAAAATGGAGCTTTTGAATGAAAATTAGAAGGCTGGGAAACTTGAATCCATTATCAAAGCTTGACAATTTCCCAATACTTAAAGATTGTCAAACTTTTTGGTTTCAGGACTTGTTTATATACCTAAAATTCTGAGGACCCCAAAGAGCTCTGTGTGTGTGTGTGTGTTATGTACTGATAACTGCAGTATTCAAAATTAAATGAAGAAAACTTTAAATACGTCATTTAAAAATACCACCAAGCCCACTACACAGACACCAGGGACAGAGATGCAAGCTATAATCAAGGCTCCTAGCAGGCCAAACCAAGTTCCAGCTCAGTCTAAGTAACTTGGTAACTTAGGGAGACCTTATGTCAATAATAAATAGAGGGGTGAGTAGGATGTAGCTCATGTGAAGGCCCTGGCTCAATCCTCAGTACCAAAAAAAAAAAAAAAGCAAAGCTAGGCTAGGCTCCCGGCAGGACACCAGTCAGACCTGGCAGACACTGTCACCTGGAAGCTGGGATGGGCCCAATTTTAAAAAATTAGGTGAGCAGAGGTAATCAAAAGGGGACCACGCTGAAGATTTGCTCATACATGAACGAGGACGAAAAGGGTCTGAGAAATGAAAACCCTTGACAGGTGGGACAAGGATGCGAGATCAGAAAGGCTGATGCTTAACGCGTAAGTTCCAGGCTTTCAATTTCCAAATGGGGCCAAAGACCAATTCCGGAACCCTGTAAGTCAATGCGATCTCTACACTCAGGACTTACCACTGAAGCACTGCCAAGAACAAAAACTCCTAAAGCCCACACTGACTCACAATACAAGCCCTCAGTCAGCCTTCCCAAAGCATTCCAAAGCTGAGATTTTCTACTTAAGACAGGGGCTTCGCCCTCAAGCAGCTGCTGGTCAGAGGCAGAGCTGTGGAGCCCACCAGCACACGCCTAAGGGAACCTGAGTGGAGGCGCTGGGGCAGCCTCTGCCAACAGAAAGCAGGGAGGGTGGCATGTGAACCAAAGGGCATGCTACACAAAGCTCACGCAGAGCAGGGGCACAAAGGTGCCACTGTGCAGGCAGCTACAAGGAAGCGGCTCCACTGAGGCCAGAGCAGCTGCTGGGACAGACGGGAGACAGATGGGCATGCTGGCGTCTGAGCTGGACCAGTGGACAACGGGGAGGCACAGGAAGGCAAGAGACAGAACCGGATTTGTCTTTCTAAATTCTGTGACAGCTCGGAAATGCCCCCAAGCCTCAAGGAGGGGCTTTCCCAAAGCAACCTGGAGGACACCAGCTACTCCCAATAGGACTGAGAGGTGGGGCACAGATGGAGGAGGCTCCTCCCAGAAAGGACTAGCTTTGGAAGGTGCACTGCTTGCTGTTTCTAGCTCACTCCACTCGCAGCCACTGCAAAAAGAGCCCCCACTGCACCATTTCTGCCTTGCATCCAAAAGCCAAGGCTTGCCCTGTAAGCTGCGTGTGCCAGGTATTTTACAAGAGCCAATGCACGAATCACTGTAGAATCACCGGGCTACAAAGTGGAGCTAAGAAACAATTAGGAGACTATGCTAGAGATGTGCAAGAGAACCCAGACCTCAATCACACATGCTGCCCTATACTTAGCTCACCTTTCCCACAGACCGGCTCCTTCTCCTGGAATTCCTTGCCTCAGTGAACAGTGCTATATTCACTTCCTGCAGCTGCCGAAACAACTGACCGCATGTGCATGTGTGGCTCAGCAGCTGTGAGTGAGCGCATTCTCTCACTCAAGGATGGGAGAAGTCTAAAATCAGAGTGCCGGAGACCAGAAGCTGGCCCAGGTCTCTGGTCCTGGAAGACTCCATGTTGTGGCGCACAGACACATCAGTCCGCGTCCCCACCTCACTGGCCCCGACCTCATTTCTGTGTCCTTCCTGGTCTCTTACTAATACAGTCGCAGGGGCCTTACGGCCCTCTCTAATCTACAACGACCTCCTCTCCACTCTTATTGATATGTGTAAGGAGTCTAGTTCTAAGTAAGATCATGTTCTGAAATTCTGGTGGGCACAAATTTTGGGGGAATGCTATTCAAACACTGTATCAAGTCAGAAATGTTACCCCAAATGTGGCACCCTAACAAAAATGTGACATCCTCTCAACCTTCTTCTCTTTCCTATCCTTCGCATCGATAACCATCAAGTCCTGCCACTTCTACTTCCTTGGTGTCAAACTACCCCTTCTTCATCCTCACTACCCTTTCACTTCAGGAACATTCTTGTCCACATAAAAGCACCTTTGCGACACACTGGATGAACCCAGTATTATACCCATTACCTGCCTGAGGAAGCAGTAGGTGAGGTTGATGGAGAAAGCCACCAGGTGGATCACAATGGCAACACCGGTGTTAGGGTGTCTAGTCGTCCTCACGAAGCCTCATGCAGGCCATGGGGCAGACGCTGCTCGAGGAGCAGTGAGTGGCTTGTGGGCCAGATCCTGAGCACCAGGGCGGGGCCCAAGGGGTGGGTCAAGAGAGGCCTGCACCATTAAACTGGCTAGCTTGTGCTTTCTCAGAGATGTGGGAGGGTCACCTAGAACAGGGCAGTGCTCCAGCGTTTTGCAACCTCCAGTAACTGTGAACTAAAAAACCTTTTCTTCCCTCATTTTGAGTGTTGGGTATTTGTCCCAGCAACAAGAGAAGAGTAAGACAGCCAGGCAGCCCTGCAGGGCTCCAGCAGGTCTTCCATGTGCCCACACCTTCCTACTCCAGACCTTTCCCGCTCTCACCTGTGGCTTTCAACAACTGACGGGGATCCCATTTCGAGGCGGGCAGGTGGGTAGCACTAGCACAGGCATCATCCATCCCCATCCTCTCTCCTACCTGCTCTATTTAACAGCAAAGGCCATGCTCTCCTTGAACGTCGCTGTAGCTCATCTTCATGCAGAATCTTACTAATGTAGCTCCGCTTTTTTTTTTTTTTCAGTTTTTTCAGATAGGGTCTTGCTATGCAATTCAAGCTGACCTTGAACTCAGTGACCCTCTTGCCTCAGCCTCCCAATGCTGGGATTACAAGTGTGGGCCACCATACCTGGCTCCTTTTTCTAAAATATTCAGCTCAACTAGATGAACCCACCTCAACTAGATGCTTCTCAATGATGTATACTCAAGTTTATTATTTTGATTAAACCAAAATGTAATAATACCTTAAGCCATACTCTGCCTGCTTTCTCTCCACCTCTCCTAACTCCACAAAACCTAAATGTGTTTGTACTGAGACTACAGACTTCTGGCTCTGTAGCCTGCTGACTCTTAACAAGAGAGTGATCGCACCAATAACCTGACCTCCCGGGACCACTGGAAATGACGGTCAGTGTGAGCAGAGGCTCAGGCCACAGTCACTGAGCAATCCTCTGACAAGAGCACCAACCCTCTGGGGAGTGCTGGGGGTTGGCCTGGGCCTGCAGAGAATCCCAGCTGCCTGCCCTCTGCAATGGGTTGGAGCGGACCTGCCACTGCTGTTGGCCCAGAGGGCTGCAGAGTGGCTGAGTGTCCCCACTCAGGGCCCAGCTCCTGTAAGGATGGCTAGGCCCAGCTATTCTGTGACTAGGCCTGTTCTGTGACAGCGCCCCCATTAGGCTGAGGAACGAATCCCTGTTGCCTTCCTTCTGAGAACAGCCAGGAGGATATGAATTTGGGGTGACTATCCCAGTTCTTCTGTGCTGACTCATGGCCTTGCTTCTTCCCCAGGGTGGCTTTGCCCACTAAGTGACCATGACTCTGTCACGGCGAAAGGCTATTGGTGGGGATCAGAAAGCACTCGTTATCACCAACACTTCCCCCTGTTATGATACTAGCCCCCACTGACCCACTACATCTGGGCCCTCCCTGTGCAAATCTACCTTACATCCTGCCTTTTCTCAAAACACACCAAGGACTACTTTCAGCTCCTCAGATGCACCATGCTCAGGACCATGTCCACCTCCTGGCTGATTTACTGCAGTGTGGACAACACTCCTAATTCTCTTAGCCTCAGTCACTGCCACTTATCCCTTCTGTCTTTGCTCAACTCTAACGTCTTCAGGGAGCCTCTGTTGACCTCCACACAGCCTCCCACCCATCTGTGCCCCCTTCACAGCACTTACCAAAGCTGCCATTTCTCATTTATGCCATTATTCCCCAAACAAATTTCCCTAACGGAATCCAAGTTTCACAACAGCAATGACTATGATTTTTGCTCTTCATTTTATTTTAATTGCCCAATACAACATCTGACACATTATTAGTACCCAATTAACATATAGTGCATCAACATTCAACTTCAAGGTTGCACAAGAGCCTAATTAAAAACAGGACAGACTTTACACAGTGCAAGACAAGTGTAGCACTGGCTCATTATCAGTGTTTCTCTACAGAAGGTGTCCAGCAGAAAATCACTTCATATTACTAATTCAGAATTTTGTGGAGAAAGGTGGGTGTGACCAAAGCGAACTATTTTGCTGTTACTTTAAAGGTACAAATAAGCAGGACACTGTTTCAAGACAAGGAGGTGCACCTTTCTATACCGGCCCCTGACTTTTGTTCTGTCCCAACACACCTCTTAGCTACTACTACCATCACTACCAGTATTATTACTAGTAGTAGCAACAGCACAAGTACTAACACTCAGTAATAAAACTAGTAGAGGGGGCCTGGGAGATGGCTCAGTAGAATAAGTGCTTCCCTGGCAAGTGCAAGAGCGTGGATTCAATCCCCAGTTCCACCAAAAAACAAACAAACAAACAAAAAAACCTAGTAGAAATTCCTACTACTTTACCAATCAGTGCTCAGAAAGTGATTCACCACAGCAAAATTTCTTAAGCAAATGGCAAGTTTAAGAAGGCATTCCTGTAATCCTAGCACTTGCGAAGCTGAGGCAGAAAGATTACCACAAGTTTTAGGCCAGCCTGGGCGACACAAGAAGCTCAAGACCAGCCTGACCTATAAGTTGAGACTGCCTCCAACAACAACAAAACAGAATTTGCAATGGTACGCCCTCAAAATGGCCTGACATGCTCTGCCATCCCGACCTCCAGAGACGGACAGCTTCCTAAAGGTAACTTCTGGCATGAAGCATTCACATTGGTGCCATTCATATTTAATGTAAAAGTATAATGCAAGGGTTTTTTTCAGCAAAAGTTTTCCTAGCAAATAAACTAATATGAACTGCAGTGTTACCTAAAACTGTAAGGACTGAGCAGAAATGATAACCTGGAAGGTTACTCAATTTAAATGTATTATAAATCACCCACATACATAAATTACCTGGAGATACCCGTGCTTTGATAATACAAAAATACCTCATCATAATAATCTGGTTTTAAAGTACTAATCTTTAAAATCACTCAACTTTGGCACTCATTTGTTACATGAGCAGCCTCAAGTATACGTCTTGGGGTCCACACAACTGCAACAGAACTAACGCAGCTGCTTACTAAGGAATAAAAAAGTAAAAAAGTAAAGAAATTAGTTACTTTTCCAAGATCTCAAGAGCTTCACTGATGGTGCACAGCACGTTTCCGCAGGCCTACTGTAAAAAGCACCGTGACACTGAGCCCTCCACAGCAGCACACCACAGACCGCGTGAAGATACAGGTGCTGTCACCGAAATCAAAATATCAAGTTACCCCTCTCCCTTCACCCTTTCCTAAATTTCTGAACAGAAGGTTTCACATGTGTTGAAAACACAGTGCTCACACTGTCACATGCCAGCATGTCTTATTTTCAGAAAAAAATGCTACCTCCTAACCCGGGATATGGGATGAGGCATGTAATTATAGTTCCTGAAAGAGAACATGCATAGTTTTATTACAGCTCAATACCAATCCAAAATATTTAGATAAAAATTAACACCTCCTCCTCAAACAATCTAATTTCTTCAAAGTTAGATTTCATATTTCAAACCAAAAACATCACTGTTTCATTTCTGTGGGCCATTTTTTAAAAGAAAAAGATTGTTTCATTTTTAAAAAGCTAATCATCCCCAGCGGGGATTTAAAGTTGTAAATGATACTTAAGTTCCCATGTGATCATGAACCAATCTTGCTATTTCCCTTTTGAAGATGAAGGGCTATTCCTAAAAGGCCATCAAATGCAACTGCACTCCCAGCTGCGGCTAGGAGCTACCTCCTGCAAGTGTCACCAACCGAGAGACACTCATCTACCTACAGAAGTGCTCACCTTAAGATCAGCACATTCCTGCCAACGTTTTCAGAAACAGAAGTGGAGTCGGAAAACTCGGCATGCAAGTCTACGCTAATCAAAGCGTAGTTATACCACGTTTTCCAGTGCTACCTAATAGGAAAAAGCAAATGCTGACCGCTAAGTAAGGAGAGGAGGGAATGCTTATCCGGCAGACATCAATGTGGATATGTTGGCCAGTCTCAATTCTTACAACTAGTAGCAAAGATTTCTTAGAAAAGCTATTGCTCAGAGAGCTCTGCACATCGCTGATTATCTCATTTTTATCTAAATGAACGACCCATCCTCTAATTGCCTAGTTAGAACGTTTGGTGTATGCAATAACGTTCATCTCTCATGATTTCTAATTTTTTGCACAATGTGGTTAAGTTTACTTATTTTGTTTTGGACTCGCTGGCACTCCCCCCACCACACCCAGTATCACAGACTAAAACAAATATCATTTTCACCTACGCTGGAAAACAATTCCAGGCTTTGGGAAATAAAGTAAAGTACAAACACATAAACCTTGATGGTAGAAATTACTTCAGTAATTACGGGGAGCTCTGAAGACACCTGCCTGTAATTTATGGACAACGTAAACGTAAACCAAGAAACAATGCTACTACCGTATAATATTCCATTAAGTTTTCCTAAAAGCTTTGATCACATTTCCCTAAACACCTCGTACAAGTCTCTTTATTCAACCAGAAGTTGATCGGTAATGTTTCAATGAATCAAGGCTAGGACCATCTGAAAACACGCCCGTCCGCACAGCTCCGACGCCCACAGGCGGGCGAAGGGAGCCTCCGGAGAGCACCCCGTCCTAGGACTCAGCAAGCCTGGCCGGGCGGCTGCCCCCCCTCCCCGCGGCGCCCCAGCACGGCTGGCGCCAGGACCCCCAGCACGGCGGGCCAACGCTCCCGCACCTCGCAGGCGGGCGCCGCGGGAGCTCCCGAGGGCCGCGCAGGGCGTTTCAGGCCCCGGCCGGCCCCACCCCCTGCCCCGGCCGCCCGCGCCGGCCCACCTCCAGCTTGTGGTTGATCTGCGACACGGTCTGCGCCTTGTGGCACAGCTGCGCGAAGCAGGAGCTCAGGCTCGTCATCTTCTGCCGCCCCTCGTAGGTGATGTCGGCCTGATCCGGGTCGATCTCGCCCAGCAGCAGGTCCACGTCCACGAAGGCCTTGTCGAACTCCTTCTCCAGCACCTCCAGCCACCGGAACATGGAGACCCCACCCGGGGAGACCCCCGCGGCGCCCCCCGGGTCCCCTCCGGCGGCCGTCGGGC